CATTGCTCCAGACACCTGCTGGGCTTCTTTAGACAAGCCAAACAAGCGTACACTCACTTCAGCATCTACACTTGTCCCTTATGCCTGACGGGCCCTTCCCTCACATTGTGGCATGGATTAATCCCCTTACTGCAGATCATTACTCACTGGCATTTCTCAGATGGAACCACCACTGACCTCCCTACTTTAAATTGTGGAAGAGGGTAAGGTCTGGCAACCTTATTTTTTTGGTCATCAGAAGAGCGGCATTTCTGGGTGTGGTTCTTGTAGCACTCTTAACAGTAGCTGGCATATAGACATTAGCTAAATAAAAGAAGTCAGAACTTGTCTTTTTCTTTTTGAAGCTTTGTTTAAATTGAAAACAGAGTACTCAACAGTCTTTTAAAATATGTATATGTTTCCCTCCCCCAGGGTATAACCCCTGCTTTCACTATATTTGATGTTGGTCTAATTTGTGGAGGCGAAGGGCAAAAACAAATCGTTTAACTAGGGATACAGGCAGACCCATTGCAACAATGAGATGTACAAGACGTTATGTCCAAAAACAAACTTCACAACTTTGGTGGAGGCAGGAGGATTGGGTCAGGGGAGATGGGGGGAGATGGGAAGAGATGGGAAGGGGAAACAAGGAGGAGGCAGCAATGCTTGATAAGAAATGTACTCGTTATCTTGCCCATGTAATTGTAACCCCTCTGTACAGTATTCTCACAATAAAAAATAATATGTATACATTGTGAAATGGCTATATCAAAGTTTTATATCCTCAAACCAACATCCCCACAACGGCTACTCTCAACCAGGAACCACTACTCTATTCTGTATTTCCATGAGTTCAACTGTTTCAAATTGCACATATGGTAAAAACAGAAATTTATCTTCCTTTCCCTGACTTACTTCACTGAACAGAATTTCCTCCAGGTGTAGGATTTTCTTAACAGTATCCCATTATGTACAAATGCGAATTTTCTTTATCTGTATCTGGTTGAGTGTGAATAATTCCACATGGGAAGTATAGACATCTCCCTGACATTCCCATAGCAAATTATATATCTATAGTGGGACTGCTGAATCATATGCTATCTATTTTTAATTTTTTGAAGAAACACACCATTTTACATAATGGCTATACTAATTTACATTTCCACCATACCCTCTCCAATGCTTGTGTGCATGTGCTCGCCCCTTAATGTCACTCTCTCATGATGGCTTTCTCTCGGTCCCTCTCTCTGTGTCTCTGTCTCCGTCTCCTCTTTCTGATAATTGCCGGATCTAGCAGGCGCAACTTCAGAGGACAGTCTTTTTTTTGTGTGTGGGGGGGGTCCAGTCATGGGGCCTGAACTCTGGGCCTGGGCGCTGTCCCTCAGCTCTTCAGCTCAAAGCTAGCGCTCTACCACTTGAGCTACAGCGCCACTACTGGCCTTTTTTGTTTGTTTGTTTTTTGCTTATGTGGTGCTGAGGAATAGAACCCAGGGCCTCATGCATGCAAGGCAAGTGCTCTACCACTGAGCCACCTTCCCAGCCCCCAGAGGGCAGTCTTGAGGACAAGACTTTCAAGGCCGTGCCTTGAAATCTGTAAGATTTTTCCCAGTTAAAGTTTTAAATTACCAGTGACTCCTTTCTTCCTTCTATTTTCTCACTTTTACAATGGTAATGCCTATAATTATTGTTCTATGCATGTCCCACTAAGTATGTTTTAGTTTCACAGCTCCACAAATGGAAAGGAATATAGAACAAAAAAGGATCATGCCCAGAATCTCACTGCCATGTGATATAAATGATTTACATGATGATACTTTTAGGCTGATGATATTTAGATGACATTTGGACTCTAAGTTCATTTTTTTTGTTGGTCAGGGTGAAGCAGTCTTGATTTTATTACAGGCGTACTGGGAATCCATGGAGGAATTTCCATAGCAAAGTGATATGAAATGATTTACATTTTTAAAAGTCATTGGTGCTTACTTTATGGAGGTAAGCAAGGAAGTTAAGGAACCAGTTAAAAAGTATTACAGTGGTCCAGACAAAAGAAAATAGAGACTCCAATTTGAAATGACAGCAGCAGAACAGACAAAAAATAAAGGGATGGATATGAAATATAATTTGCAAGTAGAACTGACAACTTACTAATAAATTAAGTATGGAGAAAAGACAATGATAAAATATGGTAAAATATGAGAAGATTCTTTTTTTTTGTCAGTTGTGGGATTTGAACTCTGGGCTTGGGCACTGTCCCTGCGCTCTTCTCAAGGCAAGCACTCTACTGCTTGAGCCGCAGGCAACTTTCAGTTTTCTAGTGGTTTATTGGAGATAAGAGTCAGAGCTGAGGGACAGCGCCCAGGCCTAGTGTTCAGGCCCCACAACTGGCAAAAAAAAAAGAGTTTCACAGCCTTTCCTTCCCAGGCTGGCTTTGAACCATGATCCTCAGATCTCAGACTCCTGAGTAGCTAGAATTACAGGTGTGAGCCACTGGCACTCAGCTGGGAAGATTCTTTGGTTAGAAGTTAAGCAATTGGATATTATTTATTAACTGGGATTGACAAGACAGAGGAAGACAGACATTTGCATGTGAAAATCAAGACTTGAATTTTAAGTAGGTCAATTTGTTATAGGAATATAACTTAGTTTGATTTAAAAAATAAAGAGCTCAAGGACAGGCTATAGTTTATAAGTTTATAGTTTATAAGTTCAGGGGGAGTTAAAAAGAGCAAAATGAAATAAACCAAATAGATAAGAAAGAAAAATGAGGTCAGTAGATGACTAAGCCCTAGAACATTTCATATTTATAAGCCTGACAGAGGAGAAAAGCAAGCAAGAGATACTGAAGGAAATATCCATACAGCTTGAAAAGAAACTGTGAAGTAAAAAAATGTCATTTTTTTCTGAATTATTGGTACTAAGTTTTCTACTTTATGTAACATTCATGTGCTCTATTCTATGAAAGTCCAGCTAAAATGTAAACCTCTTAGCCTTTGCTTTACCTCTGGAAATATTTAAGTACTTGGGAAACAGCTACAAGAACAGAACACACACTAAATTCTGAGGAAATAGATTTAGACACTTTTCTATGACATGACCAAGAACGTGAATAAATTTACATTTTTTAAATCATAGAATTAGGATTCTACAGAAAAATGTACGGAGAGGAAAAAAGCTAGACGAATACAGAGAAATCTGGACAAGGCATACTTTGAGAGCTATCTGACTAGGAATGGAAATAGCAATAAAAGAAAAATAGCAAAAAGAGCCATACCTAAAAAGTGTATTCAGATGATTACCTTTTCCTTATAGCCTATTTTCTTAGCCACAGGACAGACTCTCTACGCTTTCTAGTTTCCTTCCTTCTTGCTGTCTCCAGTCTTGTCTTGATCACCTGACTATAGCTTTAAGCCTTTTTGATTCCAGCCAATGTGTAGAATGGCTCTTGCTGTCCCAAATAATAAACATTATAAAAGTTTCACAGGGACAAAGTAATAACTAAAACAGTATTTAAAGTATTTTCAGCAGCTCTGGATTAAAATATCAAAGTACAAGACTAAAAATGTTTACATAGAAAAAATATATATACAAATTCATTATCCCTCCCTCCTCAATTTTGAAGTCAGTTAAAGTTAACTTCAATTTCCTCCTTTGAGGTACCAGAGGAAAGGTTGATTTTTAAAAATGTTGATAAATGTTTTTAAGTAAATAGAAATTTCAGAATGTGACATGCAGGTAATTGGCATGATTAAACCAGGCCCCCATGTAATCCTATCTGCTCAGGAGGCTGAAGTCTGAGGATCATGAGTGAAAGCCAGCCTAGACAGGAAAAGTCTCTGAGACCCATAATCCAAGCAGGAAAGTCTGTGAAACTCTTATCTCCAATTAAACACCAAAAGAAGCCAGAAGTAGAGCTGTGGCTCAAGTGGTAAAGTACTCTAGCTTTGAGCAAAGAAGCTCAAAGACAGCGCCCAGGCCTGGAGTCCAATCCACAGGAGACACACACACACTCAAATAAAAATTAGCATGACCATGTCAACAATACATATATTCATCTAAAATGGGTCCTTTTTGTTTTTAATTCTACAGATGCTAAAACTTTTCAGAGAGGTCAAAAACTTCCTGAAAATAAGCTGCCCAACTCTGGCACGCCACTCATAGCATGTTTCACAAACACTGACACTGCTCCAAACCTCCTCAGGGTAAATTAGCCGAGTAGCTTGTTGCTTGTTGCTTGTTGGCCAGACTCAGGAAGGCCAGGTGAGTTTTCAAGAGAGATGCAAGAAAAAGAAACGTTCCGAGTTTGAAAAGAGACAGGAGTAGTAAATTTATGAGGATTTCTTCCCCTGTGGCTTCCCCAGCTCTATCCAGTCCTTTCCATACCTCATTGCACAGATTTGTGATTATTTCTCCAGAATTGTGGGGACTCCCAAGGTTCTCCTGATCCTTTCAAATCTAGAAAAATACCTGATTCCTTGCCTCCCACCTAATAACTGAATTACCTTGCCTGGGGCCACCTTGTTGAACCACCCAGTTGCCAGGTGGCTCCTTCTAAGGAAGCATAGACAGCTGTTGGTGTCATAGGATGTTGTGGTCTTTGGATATGCTCCCGATTTGAATTTCAACCAACTCCTCACATCTCTCTGATGGGGTACAGTAATAGAACAGAAGTAAATGGGAGATCAGCATGCACTCAGACTCCAGATTCTGAAAGGGAACAAAAATCAAACCCTCCATTCTTTGCCTCATCACCAAGTCCAAAAAAAAAAAAGAACAACGAATATACTAGACACCAAACTTTATTGATCCATCAAAACTAAGTATACAGTGACAACTCTCAATAGCCACATAATAAGTAATATATAGTTTATGTATGATTAAGTCTCTATAATAAGAATAAATGAATATTATTTGTTGATTTGTATACCTTATAAATCCAAATCCTCTGCTATCGTACTAAAATTCATTCTGTATTAAAAAGTGTTCATTTAGTGTTTAAATATCCATGCAAAGCATTGGCTTACCTTTTCTAATACAGATAAGTTCATGCACTCCACAGGTTCTCTCTCCACCTATTAAAAAATTAAATTAGACATTTAAAAGCAGAGGAAATAACCTTGAATTTGACCGTTACAAAGAAGCATTTATATTAGCACCTAGGAATGATCTCAGAAAAAAAAGCTTACAATTTTCTTAAATCTTCATTAAATATGATAGCCTGACACTCAGAATTTTCCTGAATAACCCAGAAATTGAGGCTTGCTACAGTTTTAGAATAAACTGGGCACACCAGTGGCTCATACCTGTAAACCTAGCTACTCAAGAGGCTGACAAAAGTCCACAAAAGTCTTAATTCCAATTAACTAGATTTAAAAGAATATGATGATTAAAAAAACCTAATAAGCACAGCCAAAAAGTCTTTTAAAAGGAGATTCTACTTTTTACAAAAATATAAATGAATATGAAAAACATACTCACTGAAATAGCCTGGCACAGAAAGACACACTATACAATCTCAACTATACAATCTGGAAAGGTCAACTCATAGTCCTAGGGACCAGAATGGTTGTTATCAGGGCTGGTGTGAGGGACATGAGAGAAAGGACACAAAAGGGGGTGGGGAATCAGTTTCTGTGATTTACTGTACAACATGGTAAGGATACTTAATAACAAGTTATTGCATTCTTGGCAAGTAACTTCTATTTTAAATATTTCCACTGTAAAAAATAAGTAGGTGATATAAGAGATTAATTTAATCATTTCACATGCATAATGTGATATTACACATCAAAATGCCATATTATAGCCCATAAATATATACTGATAGTTATTGTAGGAATAATTTTCTTAGCTACTATACTAATATATATTTCTTTCACTCAAAAACATATCTCTACTGTAAGCCAAATAAAATTTTGGAGTGTTGTGTATATATATATGACATTATCATACTGTAAATTATTTTGAAATTTTCATAATAAAAATATTAAATGATTTAGTCATTTTAGGTTGATAGAGAAACTTATTATGAACAGTTCAGTTATAAGAAATAGAAATGTCTTACAGCAATTATATGAGAAGAATAAACGATATCCACCTTAAAAAGTAGGTCATCTGGAATCCAAGCTAAAAAACTAGAAAATAATTTTTCTATCACTAAAGTAGGTTAGCTCCACAGCCTTGCCTGGTTCTAACAGTGCCATTGCTTCCTTATTATCAATAGTATAAAACAATCCCTAATTAGCAGGAGATAAAGTTATGATTATAAAAGAATTATTGTTCAGCAAAACCCCAGTATAAAACATGACCTTAACTGGAATATTACCAATGAGCAACCACAGATCATTTGCTGAAGAGCTACAATGAAATACACCTATGTACTGTACATCTTTCAAACTGAGGAGACACAAATGACCGCAGCATGGTAAACTAGGCACTTATCAAGTTATAAGAAACTATTTTACCAGGTTATAAGAAACTATTTTCAAGACATTTGAAGAATCAAGTGATTAAAAATAACTATAATAGAAATGGAAGTTTAGAAGTATTTCCCCTGTATACTCATTGAGGTATATTTTTTGGAAGTCAACATTTGTAAATTAGAGTCTTGTGCTATATTCATGTATGTCTTAATGTCTGTCATTAAAGCTAGACTCTCTCACCTATGTAATATAAATTGATTAGGCCTTACCATATATAGCCTGTCTTAAATATAATGGTGGTTTTACAAGGATTAGAATTAACAATAACAAAAAAAAAACGTGCTGGCTGAGCGTTGGCTCACGCTTGTAATCCTAGTTACTCAGGAGGCTGAGATCTGAGGATTATGGTTCAAAGCCGGCCCAGGCAGGAAAGTCCGTGAGACTCTTATTTCCAATAAACCACCAGAAAACCAGAAGTGGCTCTGTGGCTCAAGCGGTAGAGCGCTCACCTTGAGCTGAAGAGCTGAGGGATAGCGCCCAAGCCCAGTGTTCAAGCCCCACAACGGACAAAAACAAAACAAAACAAAAAAAAACCTGCTGAAGGACAATGGAAGTAAACTCTATTTTCATAATATAAAATTCATCTCTTTTGACTGAACATCATAAATAAAAAGCTAGCGAAATAATGACTATATATTAAATTTACAGTTAATTAATAATTGTCAAGCTTATTTTTTTAAATCACACAACAAAAGAGACTAGCACTCAAAGACAGACAGAGATTGGAATTCAGAAACAAAGCTCATTATTTCGTAGTACAAACAGAGACTCTAAAGGTTAAAGTTGCCCAAAGACACTAATTAATTGTCAAGAGAAAAAAAATTCAAACATTATGTTTAATATAGCTAAGGAAGTAAAATGGATTTTTATTCAACTTTATGAAAAAATTATGAAATCATTTTTCTATGGCGTAAGGCAACTGACATAGAGTGACTGTGCAAAAGCTATACTTGGAGGTACCATCAGCATGACTCTTGACACAATCACCTCAGCAACGTGGCAAAGGTTAGGCAAAGTTACCATCTTTTCCTGCAGTCAAATCTATGTGCAGAACATGATATAAACTCGCACAGACCTGTACAGCTGGCATAAATAAGGAGAACAGAAGGAAGCAGATATTTGGGGTACTCACACACAGGTACTATGATTATGTGCAATGTATATGTATGTACGGTGTTAATGTGGATGTACAGCTAACCAGGGTGCTTCAAGGGAAAAGGAATCCGTATTTTCTCCATGTTCACAGAAGGAAAATGTATAGTAGTATTATCATTCCATTAGAATACATCCAGGTATACAAAAGTGGACTTAAGCCCATGATCTAGTTCTTTTAAGGGTCATTTTCAAAGTTTACTTTTCATATTCTGACCATTAGCCTACATCTCCACAACTTACGAACTATTTCTTCGTTTTCTTGTGTTGCTTTAAGCCTTTGTATTAAAGGTTTTCAATTCCACAAGTCATATGATGAGCATAATGCAACTTGCTCATTGTCAGCCTGTCCACCAATCTTCCCTATCTTTTCCAATCACATCCCACTTATTTCTTCTTGATTAAACACTGAAAAGCTACTTTTCAATGTCTTAAAATTCACTTCATCTAAAGATTCTTCGCTAATATATATCCATTGATGTAGTCACAGCCCTGAAGTTAACATCTAGCTCACAGTAATCACATGGTGATAGCTAACTCTTATGTAGATATCTATACATAATAAAAGATAAAACTTTAAATATTTTCAGTTGATGCTGTTAACTTCCCCACCCCCAAAAAAGAAAACTTTGTTTTTGTGGTACTGGGGATTGAATCCAGTGCCTCTTCTTGAATGCTAGGCAAGTGATTGACTACCTGAAATTCACCTCCAACCCCAACTTAACCCACTGAGACTTCCAAATCTCAAGCCAGGCACTGGTGAGCTCAGGCCCATAATCCTAGCTACTCAGGAGGCTGAAGTCTGAGGATCATGATTCGAAGCCAGACCAGGTAAGAAATTCTGTGAGACTCTTAGCTCCAATTAATCACAGAAAAAGCCAGAAATGGCTTGTGGCTCAAGTGGTAGAGCGAAAGGAGCTCAGAGACAGCACCCAGGCCCAGAGTTCAAGCCCTTAGGACTGGGGTGAGGGGTGTGTGGTGGGGTCCCGGAAGATTTCCAACTTTCAGACACATTTTAGATTAGCTCTTAATTAAGCCATTTATTCAAGGAATAACATGAGGGTTGGTCCTTAATTTAAAACAGTGTTGAAGAAAAAACATGATTTCCAATTGAACTAGATTTCAATCAAAGTCAGCAACCTAGCACAGCTAAACCTCGTACTTGTTACCCTACATGATAAAAGAAAAAAAAAACCTTAAAAGCATTTGTAGAGTAGCAATAAAATAACCACAGGATAGAAAATAGCTTTCATTCTGTATGCTGATTATGGAATAGGAGTGAAGGGCACTGCTGCCCCAGTTTCCAAAAACAAGTCCATAAGCAAATCCAACAGAAGATGCCTTCATAAAGTAGTCAGGAGAGGGTGCTCACAGGAGAGTGAGGACCGACCCACGGTGGAAAACAAGTATGTGTCCTCACCAGAAGAACAGCAAACTCAAAGGAAACTCAAAGCATTAGGCCCCAGGAAACAGGAAAGACCCTCTCATAGTTCTCTTCTTTGGCATCAGTTACTGAATTTCAAATGCTCTTCTAGGCAAATACCCCAAAAGAAATATTACACTTCTCATACTTCTAAATTTGCCCTCTTCAAAAAAAATGTTTGTTTAAGAAGAAAATAGTTTAAAGGCTAGATGCATTGGCTTATAGCTGTAATCCCAACTACTTGGTAGGCAGAGATCAGGAGGATCGAACTTCGTGCTTCGTGACAGAGGCAGGCAAAAAATTAACAAGACTCCATCTCAATGAACAAGCCTGCCATGGTAGCATGCATCCGTCACCCCCGCTAGGCAGAGGCAAATGTAGGAGAATCACAGTCTAAAGAGGAGCCCCAGAAAAACTATTAAACTCAATTTAAAAAAATGAATGCCACCAGGCACTGGTGGCTCACACCTGTAATCCTAGCTACTCAGGAAGCTGCGATCTGAGGATCACCATTCAAAGCCAGCCTGGGCACGAAAGTCCATGAGACTCATATCTCCAATAAACCACTCAGAATATTGGAAGTGGTGCTGTGTCTGAAGTGGTAAATGCTCGCCTTGAGCTGAAGAGCTGAGGGACAGTGCCCAGGCCCAGAGTTTAAGCCCCACGACTGACAATAATAATAATAATAAATGCTTAACAGGGCTGAAGGCATCTGGCTCAAGTGACAGCATTCCTGACCAGCAAGTAAAACTGCAGTAATTCCAGACAGGTAGGTAGGTAGCATATAGATAGGTAGACACATAGAAAAGTCTCCAACTCTCTGGGATTATCCTCTCAAACTGGAATTCCTTTGCTTTTGGTTGCTACTGTGCAATTAATGTAGAATTAAAATAATTTGAAAGTCTTCTCTATCATTTTACAAACTCATTTTGTCTATAATATTCCTATATACTAGCAGGACTAAACTTCGGAACACACATGCCCCACTTTAACGTCATCACACAGAATCAA